TTTTCCCCGCAGTGTTGAAAGTTGTTTTGCCCCACAGAGTTGAAATTAATTTTGCCCAGCAGAGCTGACAGAAAGTTTGCCCAGGAATATGGTAAGTAGTTTTGCCCAGCAGAGCTAAAAGTAATTTTGCCCCGCAGAGATGACTGAAGTTTTGCCCAGCAGTGTTAAAAGGAGTTTTGCCCCGCAGAATTGACAGAAGTTCTTCCCAGCAGAATTGACAGACGTTTTGCCCCGCAGAGTTGACAGTAGTTTTGCCCCGCAAGTTGACAGAAACTTTGCCCGGCAGAGTTGACAGAAATTTTGCCCAGCAGAATTAAAAATAGTTTTGCCTATCAAAATTAAAAGTAATTTTGCCCCGAAGAGTTGGCAAGTTGACAGAAACTTTGCCCGGCAGAGTTGACAGAAAGTTTTGCCCAGCAGAGTTAAAAGGAGTTTTGCCCAGCTGAATTTACAGAAGGTTTCCCAAGCAGAATTGACAGACGTTATGCCCCGCAGAGTTGACAGAAACTTTGCCCAGCAGAGTTGAAAGTAGTTTAGCCCGGCAGAGTTGACAGAAATTTTGCCCAGCAGGATTGAAAGTAGTTTTACCCAGCAAAATTAAAATCAATTTTGCCCCGCATAGTTGAAATTAATTTTGCCCAACAGAGTTGACAGATGTTTTGCCTAACAGAATTGAAAGTAGTTTTGCCCAGCAGAGTTAAAAGTCTTTTTGCCAAGCAGAGTTGAACGTAATTTTGCCCAGCAATTTTTTTTCAGAACCTTTGCCCAGCAGATTTGAAAGTAGTTTTGCCAAGCAGAGTTGAAAGTAGTTTTGTCCAGCAGAGATGAAAGTAATTTTGCTCCGCAGAGTAGACTGTAGTTTTGCCCAGCAGAGTTGAATGTATTTTTGCCCCGCAGAATTGACAGAAGTTTTGCCTAGCAGAGTTGAAATCAGTTTTGCCTCGTAGAGTTGACAGTAGTTTTGCCCTGCAGAGTTGACAGAGAGTTTTGCCAAGCAGAGTTTGAAAGTAATTTTGCTTTGCAGAGTTGACAGAGAGTTTTGCCAAGCAGAAATGAAATTAGTTTGCCCAGCAGAGTTGACAGAATTTTTGCCCAGCAGAGTTGAAAGTATTCTTGCCCAGCAGACTTGAAAGTAATTTTGCCCCCTAAATTTGACAGAAGTTTTGCCCAGCAAAGTTGAAAGTAGTTCTGTCCAGCAGAGGTGAAAGTAATTTTGCTCCACAGAGTAGACTTTAGTTTTGCCCAGCAGAGTACGCAGTTCTTTCTAGGAGTTAAACCTTAAAATGCTTATTACTCATATGGCAAAGAATTATAAACCAAGCATTGTTTGTGATGTACAAAGATAGTTATTCCATAGTTACGTACGTAGTATGTAGGAAACATTTAATGTTCACTATTCCGATGAGAAACTAAGGGCCATCATAAACGCCTATATAAAATGTTTTATTCTTATCATTCTCATATATAATTCATGATCGGGTGTGCGTTGGTCCAAACACTAAGGGACTTAGAATGATGAAAACGCAATAAAATCTGAAAATGAAATATTGAGAAATACTGATAAAATAAAATGAACATTTCTTTTTCCCGTATTTTCACGGTAAAAAATATTTTACACTTCAGTGAAACAGATAGCACAGAACATTTCTTTGTTCATTGTTAATCACTTAATGCTTTCTGGAAAAGAATTATTGAAACTTTTAAGTCGCTAGGAATCTGTAAACATATTTTCAATGTAAAAAATATTTTACTAGGTTATAGTTATGAAAATACGCAGCAATCAAATCTTTGGCAAATTAATTTGATCTTTACAATTCTTGGTAGTATAAAGCTTATATGATGAGTAACCAACGTGCCGATACTATAAACATTAATGGAATCTTTCTACACGAACTTAACAATATGAAACTATGCCTCGTCCATAAGAAATATAATTCTTATTTTATTAAACGCTTTACAACAAACTTTTAATATTGTCAGATATGTTAAAAGATGAGTAAGATTACGTTATAATATTTTATTACAGCTATGTATATCAATTTCTAAACTGTAATTCTTATATAATATCATACATGTATTTGATATGTTAAATGCACTAACTGTATAAGTATTATATGCAAATGTTCTTTGTGCAAATGTTTTTAAAGTTTTTAAATAAAAAGATTAAAAAAAAGTGAAACATATTTTCGTATTTTCACTGCTGTCCTGCCAAATTCTTTTAACACAAATTTAAAGGGGGATTCTTTCGGATCGTAAGCTAGGTCACAAAGGAGAAAAGGTATTTATGACATTCTCGTGTCGCTTTTGAGAGTCTGTAAAAACGGTATGGCACGATCGTGCATTTTGACGTGATGAAATTCATTCAAAAAACTAATTCGTTTTTACCATTAACGGTTTTTATTTTGGATAATTGTGATTAATAAATAGAATATTATATTTGTGCAGCTTTATTACTAAATTTATTGAACTCGTTGAATAAAAAAAAAATGTTTGCTCGCCGGAGCCTCGTATAACATCATTTTGAACCTTCACTTATTCAATATCCTCTATATAATCAAACAGGATCTATTTTCAACTCGTGGTATGAAAAGAATCGTATTTCTCTCGTGGATATAACAAAAAAAACAACAACAAAAAAACAAAAAACGCAATACAATATTATATTATGTCCCAGCTTTTACGTCTTAGTAATTAGACACAGTGGAAAGTTCTGCATCGAAGCACAAACAGCCTACCAACTTAAAAATTCGTAGCATTGTATTCGTTTAACATGATCAAAATATATAATTATTGTCGGACGTCGGGTGTCCTAGGTTCGACTCTGTCTTTGAGCCATGGTCTCCATCTAGAAATATATTTACTGCGTTTCATGGGTATTTCCCCAGAGGAATCATGCTCCCAGAAACCTCAACCCATAGTGTGTATGCGGGACTAACTAAATGGCACACTTACTCTCTCTTCTCTCAATTAAGTGGCAATCAATACATGTATGTGTATTTACTTTCTTTGTATAGATCTTGTTTAATTAGATACAGGCCAGATTTATTACCATTTTATGGGTTTTATTTTGTAAGACGGATTTGTTTTGGGTATATATATACATATGTATTTAAACTATGTCAATGTTGTCACAAATGCATTTATGTATTGGTTGATGTCGATGTGCTGTATATGCATTTTATAAGACTGAATAAATTTTCTGTTCTGTTCTGTTTATGTACTACATACAGGATATGAGAAAAAAAGTAAAAGCTACCTCTTTCCACGAGTTCAAATGATAACCCGACCTTAATGAAATTTCCATTTTAAAATTTAAACCTAATTTTTAGTGTATTCCTCCATCGCGGCCATCTTTAAAATGGCTGAATTATTATATGATGATTATATTGTATTAAAAGTCAACTACATGTATTTATCATTCTGCAGTCGCAGATGATAAAGAAAACGGGCTAATCTTGGGTTCAGGACAAGGGACATGTCGCCCCCCCCCCCCCAGCAGATAATTTGTTTGACATCATTGATAAATGCCATTTATACCATTTATACTCCGCCGGTGATTTACTATTATTTGGAATAGTTTTACTGGTTCAGAACATCGTTTAAAAAAGAAAGACACAGCCCGTCCCCAAAAAAACCCACAACAACAACAACAACAAAAACAAAACAAAACAGAACTAACCAAAATATCAACAACTCAAAAATTCAATCGTACAACCTAAAGTACATATTGTTAATAATGTCAGCCGAATAATAATGTTACTAGAAATTTGATACTCTAGACACAGATTAAAGTAATTTACATATAGATTTTGAACTTACCCACCGTTTTACAAGGAATAGGACAGGATAACTAAAAAGGCCGCTTTCATAACATTATTTGGTTTGGGTTTATAGTCCTCAAAATTTAAATAATAAAATCTTGATAACATTTTATGAGGACTATGTCTAGTATTTGAACATGTATTTTGTTTACATACGAGTCAAGGAATATAGATACGTACAGTAAGGACTTATATTAATTCATGACTTAGTTTCTTTTGTAGAATTTCCCTAACTATCATTAGTTAAGATTAAGAATTTAGTTACATTATATAGTGAAGTTTGGACATTTATACAGCAAACATATGTTTATACACGCGTAGATAACCTCCCAAAAAGTCTTTATAACGTTATAATGAATTTGCAAAGCCTGCTGATTGAACTAAAAATTCATAAATTTGCAACAGCATTATATTATGATAATGGAAAGGCTATCCGAATCTCAACGTTTCAATACGGCGTATTAAAAATAAATAAGTTAATATGTTTTCGTTTTGTATTTCAATTTATCAACTCCACTCAGAAATAAGTTAATATGTTTTCGTTTTGTATTTCAATTTATCAACTCCACTTAGATCACACAAACAAGGCAACATGTTTTTTTGTGTTTTTTACTTCGCACCAACTCATTTTAAGGTCATATGGCGACTTTCCAGCTTTACTGGAGAAGGACTTCTGTGCATTTTTTTCAGGCACTAACGAGCACCTGCGTAAAACCACCGTCTTTCCGTAGGCAGGCTGGAATGATTTCTCACATGAAACTGTTGGGATTCGAACCCACAGCGATGCGGTGGCTTGAATTCATCGATGTTAAGCAATCGGCCCAGACGCTCTCACAACATTGGACAATAATACAATTACATATCAGGTGAAAATAACATGCTATCAATAGAATGTATATTATGATTCTTTAAATAGTTAGGTTCCTGCTGTTGAAAACACGGACACTTCTCAAACTTCCATAGAACTGCACAAGGTAACATTGGAGTCATGGAGCTTTATCTGGTGTTTTCTTGTTAACAAACAAACAATAAAAATGAAGACGAAGTTGTACTATTGAAAGCTTACTAACATTAACATATGACTGGCCTTATTGCATATTTGTATTTTTTTTTTAAAAATGGACTTTCAATCGATAATCCATAGTTACTGGTAATCAATACATATGACACGGAGCAGTGATTCTTTTCAGGTCTAAGGAAGTATAACTTGTAAATTAGAAAACATTTGATTTGAAGCAGTTGTTCATTTAATATGGAGGCTACAATGAAGACGATTATCCCGTGCCTATTATTGATAGCAGAATTTATTCCCGGTAAGTTAATAATCCCTATTTCTTATTGAACTTAATGTTAATTGACTTTATGTTCATTATTTGAATTGGTGGCGTAACTGAAGCAAAAGTAGAAGATGTAATTAGATAGAAAATCGGTAAAAAGGAGAAAGAAAAATAAGATGTTGAAACATTTCCCATTTTAAGTGAAAAATAATCACGAGACTGGCACTTCGATACTATTGAGTATTATATTGATTATATAAGTTGTATTTTGTTTATTAGATAAGGTATTATCGAATAAGATGTTATATCAAATTTAAAAATCTGGCAAAATATTTAATTAAATTTAAACTCATGAATAATAAAGATATAATGTATCCCCCAAAGAAATAATCAATTTTCTATAATTATGTGAAGGAACATATGCTTTTTATATTTATAAAATTTAATATTGGACAGTGTTCTGAATATTACATGTATATAAAAGATATATTGGACATTGTTAAGAATATTATTCAAAAGTTATATTGGACAGTGTTATGAATATTATTCAACAGTTATATTGGACAGTTTTATGAATATTATTTAAAAGATATCTTGAACAGTGTTATGAATATTATATAAAAGATATATGGACATCGTTATGAATATAATTTAAAAGATATACATGTATAACACTAACTGTTTTGTAGGTGTGCTTTCCGATGAATATTGCTCGAGTTACAGATCTTGTGACGATGGGTACTATTGTTGTGAATATAATACCAGATGCTGGTAAGCTTAAACGAATATATTTGTTATCTCTCCGCTCTTTTTATTTAAAGTTTAAATCATAAAATAAATTAATAATAAATTAAATCAAGCGTAAATCAGAGTACTGTACTGTATACCGTATACATTATTCATAAAGGAAACAAAGGTAAACTGAATGCAAATTATCTTCAATGGTTACGGCGATAGCTAGAGAGCTTACATCATGCAAAATTACTAACCAAACATGTAAAATAATAAGTTTCTCCTAATTCTTCCTGGTTTCATCTGAAATAATGCGCATTCAATTACACATGTATAAAATAGAATGAAAAAATGTTTAGCTTTAAACTGTTTTTCAATTTTCGGCGTGTTAGTTTCCAGTGTGAAGACGCTCAAAATACCGAGCCGCAACATTTCGATTTAGCCGTTTGTTGGCGTTCTTAGGGGATTCGATTATTCTCTATTGTTTTGTATTTTATTAATAGAATGTAAATGATACACGGCAATTGACTTTTTTCTGACCACAGTAATAAATACGATGCATTATATTCTTCCATTACATGATCGTTAATGGTATAGGCTATAAATGTGTATTGTAATTTTATGCCAAATTTAGAATATGTTATGAAAAAAGAGGGAGGGGGAGGTAAATGATATGTCATAAATTTGTTTAGTTTCATAACCGTTTATATTATTTAGTAAACGGACATTACATTTTTGTAGGGTAGGGCTCCATTAATGTTGAAAAAACTTTTGGCTCTATTCCGCGGTGCATTAGTATAATTATAATTAAACTTATCGACCTGATTCTATTAAAATACTTAAAAAAAAACAAAAACAAATAATTAAACTGCTCCAGAGCGACTGTAGCTACGAAAGGCCTGTGGGACTTTTACCCGATTTAATCTTCATGTATTCACAATTTTACACTTGCGAATTAACGTTTTCAACATATGGAATTCACGACATGACCACTTCATCTACATAAAATCACGATTTCACGATTTCAACTTCACGGATTCACGTTCTAAACTTCACGATTTTAACATCACAAATTTACGGTTTCAATTTAACATCTTCACGAGTTCAATACTTTACCTTCATTAGGTTGAAATCGTGAATTTGTGAATTCTGTATGCTGTAATTGTGAATTCGTGAAGTTGAAATAGTGAATTAATGAACCTCAGAATTCTAGAACTTGAATGTCACCACCGAACTTTCATAGTATACATATAACTAGCTTAGTCTTTGACCTATTTTTCGTAGGCATACGCCCTTTATTAAGATAGACACTATGTTGAAATAAATAGTTTAATAAGCTCTATTTAAGACAGTTTATGCACAACAGACAAGCAGATTTTTGTTTCAAGGCCTTCTCATTGTATAAAAAAAAGTGGATTGACAAAGACTAATACTATGCTCATTTATTTTTTAGCTCTGAGAATATATTGACAGTTGGAGCAATAATTGGTATAGTGATAGGCTGTATCGTCTTCATCAGCTGTGTCGTTGCTGTAATATGCTGCTTAACTAAACAAAGTCATCGACAGGGGCAAGTCGTTCAACCGGTACAACCAGCTGGTATGTGCCAAATTGAAAAATCATATATTTTAGGCAAAAGTTATGATACTTTTAAAATTGTCGATGATGGCAAAATTAACTCATTCTCTTTTATTCTTAATAATTCTTTAATAATTCTTATAATTCTTTATATGAGTATAAATTTTAACACTTAATAGATGAGAATAATTTTACCCAACTTACCCATTAGAAAATTCAGTTTTTTATGGCAAATTGGTTCATTACACAGAGGATTTTTGACACAACAACGAAACAATTTTTTTTTAAATTTCATGCTTAAATACAAGTTAAAATGGAATTTCGTTAATATCGAAATCTGTTTTCCCCATTGGTAGCCTCAATTTCAGGCGAATTCCTCATAAATACATAAATTCTACAGCTAAAAAATAAGTTCATTACATCGAAGTTAAATGGCGATGATGTCATTTATTTTAAGCAAATAATATGAATGATTGCACGTTTTAATAATTAAAACAAGCAGTCCTAGCAGATGAAAAAGTTACAATCACGCAGAGCTTAATTTTTCGAAACGGCGGAAGTACATATTAGGCTACTCTAAGCCGCCATGTAAGCGACCGCAATTTTTAAAACATACTTTTACACGTTGCATTACCACTGCTGTATACCGTACCCCGGATATTGCTCGATATTATGAGGACTTTCATTCCATTTCGCGACTGTGAACGGGGAACGAAGGTAAGTTCAGTGACAATATTTTTCAAACTAATGACTATTTCATTTATCTAAACGGGTTTTATATATCTAGAGGTATTGTTGTAGCTCTAAGAGGCGTAAAAGTATTACAGGTAAATGTAAAATTTATTAAACTACCCGCTGCTTACTAGAAAATACTGACCGCGATACTGTAGAATTGTTAGAAATTATTATATTAACCAATATAAAAAAATTGAATCAAGCAATTTTTTTATTCACTATCCAAGTATGCTTTGTTCAAATTTCAGGCAAAAAATTTGAAAGTAAAAAAAGATACAGGCCAAAAAAGATACAAGAAAGTGTACCGAGTATTGATTTCAAGTGTACAGAGTATTGCAAATTAGCCCAACTTTAGTATACAGAGTATTGCAAAACAGAATGAGCACATTAGTATGGGACATTGATAATTTTGTCTAAATTTCACGTCTGTATATCGATTCCATTTCATTTTGCTGATAATGTACTGTTTATATGATATTTATTCAAATATTTCAGATTCAACAATGCATTTTCAGTGTTATTACTGTTCTGTTTCTACTGGCAAATACAGGGATTTAATTTCCCATTTGATTGAAAATCACATTATGGATGAAATAAAATGTGTGCAGGGTCGGAAGCAGGCTCGGGAGCAGGGTAGAACCATCAAAATTGATGATACAAATCTTTAAATACATGTCTCAAGAAACTGTGATCAAGGAGACCATTTCTGAAAAGAAGAAGAATAACAAAACATATTTAGCTGACATTAATAATAGGTTTTTACAGGGCAAGTTTGTCTTAAGAAACATATCGACACACCTAGAAAAATGTTGGCCCGAGTGCTAATGCCGTCCAAGCATGCCGGTATCGTCTTATGAGCATGCGAAAAATGGCTGTTTAATTGAATAAAGCCTCTTGTTACAAGTTTAAACTGCTATGAAACTATAAAATTCTGGAAACAAAGTGATCCCTCGGAAGCATTAATCACAACAAAATAACATAAGAATTGCAGACTCGGTTTGATTGAGTCTGTACATGAGGGATAATGAATAAGTGCAACATCCCTCACGCCATTCTTCAATACGTACTGATCAGACTGGGCACAAATGTTGTCTGCACCATAGCCTGTGGAAAAACATGCTCTATTTTAAATTTCCAGTTACCATGGCAACGGGGGACGTCTCAAATTTGCCAACAGTCTCTATTTTTCGTTGTTTTTCCCCATCTAAACTGACTTCCAGGTGCAGCAACTTTTCAATTGATTGAGATAAAGTCTAAGGTTTTCGGCGTTGATTACACGGTACCTTTAAATCGACCTGAGGCAGTTTAGCCTCCCCTACAAGTCCCAAACTTCTCGGCCCCACTTAAAACCCCCAAACAGAAGGGCACATCTCCCCTGTGGCACCCCATTGATGTATCTTTCAATGGGTTGGGGGTGGCGCCGAAAAAGTCATCACTCTTTTGAACAAATTTGTCAAACGAAATAACAGTGTTTAGGGCCTAAATAGCGCATGTTTTACACTATTTGAGGCCTCAAAAGGGGTGGTGTGTAAAGCCTCCAAAACACGCCTTTATGAGGTAAAAGGTTATAAGGAACATAACCTTTTTATTGTATCTCCTGCCCTTTATCATAATCTTATCAAAATCCATTATACCGTTTTTTGAGCTGTACCCACTCGGCATATTGATAATAACGAAACACCTTTCACGTGCAAACGGTAACGTTGCTAGAGTGCAGGCGCAAAATGACCGAAAGATACCTTTATATGGATGTTTGGCTTAGTAGGAAGTCGTTTGATATTAGATATTGGCACACTTGCTCAATACCGTCTAATCGACAATCTTGAGGCAGCATTAATTCACTTTGGATGCATTTTTTACTATTTAAAGTAAGAAATGCAATAATTATTAACACATTCTGGAAAGGTTGATCCTTCGATAGCAACGAGAACTTTGTAAACACAGAAAATTGCTGAGTTCGTTCGACTGAGATTTTTCATGAGCAGAAATGAAAATCTGATTCATCTGATGAAAAGCAGATGTTTCCAGTAAAGTACCTCCGAACTCTGCATGTTCTGCACATACATGTATAGTAATATATAAGTATACACAATAAGAAATATTTTAAATTAAATGTATTTACTTCTTGCATTTACTCTATATTGATAACCAATACTCGTTACACTAAAAAGCAATACTCGAGACACCGGCGGGCAACTCCAACGCAATACTCGGTACACTGACATGTGTATTTATTCTCAAAATGCACTGTCATCTGAGGTTCTATTGTTGATTGAACATTTACAACATAAACATTATCATCATTATCACATTTCACTCGATTCAAGTTTTTCTTTTAAGGAAGTATATGCACAAAAACATCAAATTTGACTGATCCGAGCTCATTTATCACATGAGCAAAGAGACGAATTTTACCTCCTAATTATATTTCAAAGCTATTTCTCAACATTTTTGGGTTTTCAATAACTAGGATAATTATCGAAGTATTTGTTTTTCTATAAAATTTATATCAAACCAAATCAAAGTGACTAAATATCGTCACTTAACTTACCTTCTTTCATCGTTCAAAGTCGCGAAATAGGCTATCGAGCAATATCCGGGGTACGGTATACCGCAGTGATTACAGTCATTGCTCGTAGGAAAGAAAAAAAAGTAGTTTTGCATGTGATCATGGTGATTATCAAAATATTATGAATGACATAAAACATTAGAGATAATTGGTGACCGGTAAATTGAATGAATTGAAGTAAGTTTTATCTTGTCGATTACGTTTGAAATTTAAGTTATTTATCAATTTCTGTTTTACTTTGCTCTAAACAAGCATGATTATGTCGTAATTATAAGAGAAAATTAAAGTGACAACCACATGAAGGACGTCTTTATTGAAAATTGTGAAATTATATTTTGATTAATGTCACTGTGAAAATATCAAATATGAATTTCACGGATCCACTCAAAAGCATTTATAATAATAGTTTGTATTTGCTTTTTATGTTGGAATTTGGCAAGTAGATCTGCACTTGTAACGCAACACTTACGTTTCTTTTCAATATATTATTATTACCACGGAATCGATTGGATAGAAATTTACAATTTATATAAATCGTCATGTCATACGTGGCGTGCCGACAATCAATTCAATTGAAGTTAATTTATTTAACAGTACACAATGCAAAATAAATAAAAACATGCCTGTGAATTGAAACGTAATCATACGAATATTTAACAACAGCAATTATTACAAAAAAATTGAATAATTTCATACTTCTCTGTCATGTAGCCATAATAAAGTTAATAGATAAACATCTATGTGAACTGTTCATAAAAAAGTATTTCTGACATGGACAGTCTCGCTTCACGTACGCAAAAAAATATTTTAAAATGAAAACAAGAGTTACACTCTAAATACACTGTATAGTGCTGCAAATCAGCCCATTTTACTAGCCTATTTAGAGGGGCAAGTGGTCTATGTCAGCCAACAGCAAGTTTGATATACCAAAATGTTCGTCTGGATCTGTAATTTCTGGAATGGATATTCATTTGGCCCAACCCCGATGCGAAGCTAAGATATCCAAGATGGCGTCAAAGATGGCCGCCAAATCCCTAAATATTCTAGTATATTTACGTTGGCTTATTTCCTTTTTCAGTTTTGTAAATCAATTAAAATTTTGCATAAAATTCCTTATTTTCAACATACTCATGCTATAAATTTTAACTTTATTGATTTTTTTTCTAGTTTTCATCGCCTAATTTAAACGAAAAAAGAAAAAATATGTTGCAAATTGGGTGTCCTTTTCTGAATATGTGTAACGTATTAGTTTTATTTTTGTTTAAACTGAATAACATTCATGATTTCGTTTAATATAGCTTAAAACTAAATGAGCCGTGTCACGACAAAACCAACATAATGGGTTTGCGACCAGCATGGATCCAGACCAGCCGGCGCATCCGCGCAGTCTGATCAGGATCCATGTTGTTCGCTATCAGTTTCCTACTTGTAGTAGAGTTGGTAAGCGAACAGTATGGATCCTGATCAGACTGCGCGAATGCGCAGCCTGGTCTGGATCCATGCTGGTCGCAAACCAATTAAGTTGGTTTTGTCATGACACGGCTCAAATCTACACATATTTAGAATAAGTAAGACTAAGCGAACTATGCCATAAATGTGTTTTATTGATCTAAATTCATATACAAAGCGGATGGGGTATTACGACGGGGAGTCAACTTATAATTTTTTTTTTGTTTTATATTATTATAATGATATCAAAAATATTAACAATTTTATG